TTTCATTATCCTTCCAGTGTAAATTAGAGAATGAAATATTTCTTAGATACTTAGTACCCAGAAGCAAGCACAGGAAAAAAGCAGGAAGACACTGTTTTAGCTCAGAGAAATGTCTCAGAAAGGAATCTCTTGTTTGAAAACTGTTTTTCATATGACTTTTGACTGAGGGGGAACTCCCACTCCATCTTTCTTGGGGCCTGATGACTGCCACAAAGATAGTCTTGGGTTGACATTTCTTTGCATACCAGAAGACGGCCTGAGTAGAAGCAAATACATGCAGCCGTAGCTGTGTACCTGTGCCTTGTTTGCTTCTTCAGGTTCTTATCCTCCGTGAATAGCCAATGCCTGCCAACAAAGCACTGTCTACAATTCTTTTGTGGGCACGAAACTGGGTTTTCTGATGTTCCCTGACGCTGTTAGTACTCTAACCAAGGCACTGGTGCTGTTGATGAAATTCTCACTCAAAGTGAAGACATCAGAGCTGTCCGTGGGCTGACTTGGATAAGCATGCACCATTGAAACCAAAAAGATGACTAAGGAATTTGTGAAACTGTGGATCTTGAGTTTTGATTTCCTAGCTGAAAGTGGGAACCCTGCAGAAATTATTAGCAATTTATTTCTTACCCTACTACCTTCCACTAGGGAAAGCTTTCTGTTCCCCAGTGGAGAGAAGAGTTAAGTGAGCACAGAACTGATTAAAGAAATAGATTTATTTGAAAAAAGGGTGACAAAGTACATGGCATATAGATGTAACAGCAACGTATTCAAATTATTTTTTTTTTTTTGAGAAAAGGTGCCATTTTTTTTTATTAAATACTGTCACATGCCATAGACTAAAGAAGTGCTGCTTGCAGCTTACGCTTAGAGTGCTGAAGATTATCAGAAGCTTCTGATAATCTTCAGCTCCTATTTCATAACTGAGGGTGAGCCTATGGGATAATGGGGTAGCTAAAACCTAAGAGCAGCAGTTTGACAAAGGATCTGGTAGAATCACAGTTTATAGAAGAGAGAACCCCAGACAAGAACTAAGACATTGGTGCTGCCACTGGGTCAAAAGGCACCAAATGTGGGGGTACAGAAAGACAGATTCATGTAGTCTAGGGAATTTGGACCCATCTAGTCTGGGGAGGAGAAGGGCAGCAGAAGGTCCTTTCAGATGAAGGGCAACTGGTCTGACGGTGTAAAACACATACATTCACAGTTTTGAAGAAGCTGTGAGATGCAGGGGGATACCCTAAAAGATGAGCATAACTAGAAGCATGGCAAAATGGTAATAGTGAAGTTGATTGGGTGCTCTTACAGGTCAATTCTTTGGCTACAAGGTCTCATGCCCATAACAGAACAGCAGTTAGAGAAGGTGTGCCAGAGACATCAGGGAAAGCCAAGAGGAATTGATTAGAGCATCCTGATGCTAAAAGATGTTGAAAATATATGTCTAATGCATTCTGAGGACCAAATGCAGGAGTTGAATGTTCAGGCTTGGGAAAGCTCTAGCCAAAGTACAGGTGACAGCTGTCAAATACAAAATTTCCGAAAGTGCTGGTGTTACACGGTGGTTCTTCATATGTTTGGAGAAGAAGATGAAGAAACCCCCTAAAGGCTTACCTCTTCTTTATGTAAGAGTTAAATTGGTAGTAAGTGAGGGAACACTATTATCCAACTGAGTATATTGTGATTATGTTTGCAAATGCTAATGGATTTGCAATGATTGGTATAGCATTGAGATCTTCTATAAAAATGAAGACAGAATTACTCATCACCAGGTCTTTATTTTAGTAGTGTTTCTCAGTGATACAATGACATATAAAACCCGTTTTGAAAGAAAATTTAATCTAGTGTAATGCCTTCCGGTTTTTTTCTTGTACAGGCTTTACAGTAATGACAAAATCAATGTGAAATTTCATTATTTTTGAAGGAAAACTGACGTACTGTCCTGCTTCCAATTTAGAAAAAGCAGTTGTGTATACCATAAAGAAAATATTGTTAGCTCTATGCTACAAGATAGGAAATACTATTGTGCTTATGTAATTGTGTAGCAACTTGATACAGACTTGAGCAACTTTTGAGGAGACATTGACCCAGTGGCTCAAATGTGTCTTTAGGATAACATCAGTATTTCAGTGCAGTTTTGAATCTACTACGCTATTAAACACAGAGGGCAAATTTCTGCTCGGCATAACTCCCTTGGGCAATGTTGGCATTAAAACAGGGAGTAATTTCCCCTATTGCATTTAACAACATGTTTCAGATTTAAAAGCTGTGGAGCCATTAAAATATGACTCCATCAATTAGAAAGTAATTGTGGTATGTCTTTCTGGGGCGGAGGGATTAACTCACTTTAATCTCGGTGTGGTTAACAAAGGCAGTTAGCTACTTGCTTTAAATGTGAGTTAAATCTGTAAAACATGACTTCATGGAGAACAGGATTGGCTCCACAGCAGATGCCTCAAAAATGGGCTGTTGACTTCATTGAGTTTGGGGGAAACCTTGAACTGAACGGCAACATGATGAAGCTCCTCAGGGCTGTTCCTGTAGGTGGTCCACAGGAATTCACATACAAGTTCTGTATCTTTTTAAAGATCATGAAAGAGATTATTAAACTGTATCCAGCTTCAGACCCCTCTGTGTTGATGCCAACGCTTGCTTTAGGGCAACTTCATAAAGCAGAGATGGGAAGAAATTGAAGCATAAGGGTTGAGTATTTGTCAGTATTTGCTGTCAACAGTAATTATTATTAGAAAATCCAACTTTGCCTACTAGATATTAGACAAAAGCCAGCAGCGGAGCTGAAGCTTCTTGAGAGATTCTTGCTCCACAGCTGGCAGTTACCATCCTGTTAGCTGGTAACCAGCATGCTCTCCACCCAAATTCACTGCAGTGCAAACTAAAATCAGTCGGTTTAATTCATCTGCAGAACACGTAACTATTTTATTTTAAACTGGAGGCCTTCAGGGATTTTACCACTGAAGTTGGAAGCATTTGAAGAATCACATGGAAAGCAAGGACCTGTTATACAGCGCTTAGTTCAGAATCTCCCTCAGTTTAGGTGATGCTTTAGTTCTGTAGGGTCTGGCACTGAATGCCATTGAACAGACTCTTTCAAAAAGATTTTTATTTCTGGAGAAAAAAACCAACAAACTAAGATTAAGGGAAGTAAAACACATTTTTAATAAGGTTTTAAGGTAAAACGGATTGGTACACTGTAAAGGGATTTCTGATTTCTCTCAGCAGCTCCTCCTTTGTTTGACAGGAAGGAGCCTGTAGCTGTGATTGCATGTCTTACTGTAAAGGGTTAATACAATAGAGGAACAGAAGGGTTAAAGCTGACTGTGAGAAGAGGCAGGAGGGATGTTATGGCCTCCTTGGGGCGCTGGGGGGAGGGAAGAGGAAGTGAGATCTGCTGTGGCTGGGAGTTTGCTTTTTCTTGTGTTGGTAGCAAGCCCCCTGTCTGTTAAATGCCCGCTGAAGACACTGCTTGTATCTTTTTATTTTCCAGTCTAACACATCCCTAAGATCTGCAAAAAGGGAAAAAAGTCATGCTATTGGCCTTGTGCATGTCATGCTTCACAGCCCGTGAGCCATGTGGCCCCTTTCCTGGCCCCACAGTTTGGTGGCTGCTGCAGGGCTTTGGTGGCTGGTGTCTCCCTGGCACTGCCATATTTAGTCTTAGGGTGAGGGCTGCTCCCTCCTGAAGAGCTCGGGGCAGGGGTCTCGCAGGCTGACCGTGACGGGTCTCCTGTGCACCTCTTTCCTTCAGGGGATTACACTTTTGACCTGGGGCTTTCCCACCTGGGCTGGGACTTCCCATCCGAGATGGAGCAAGGCTGAGGGGTGGCAGGAGGGGCCAAGTGGTGAGGAGCCAGTGCAGGCTCCTGCTAGGGCTTTTCCTTTGTAGGGTGCAAAGCCCCTTGCCTGTCAGCCCTAGCAACAACATCCCTTAGTGTTTCTGCCATTCCTTTACCCCCTTAGATAGCCTCTCTGACCAGCCTGACTCTTTCCCCATGCCAACCCATCGCTGGTCATCATCTAACCATGTCTTCTGCCATCCCCTCCATCTTGCCAGTTGTGCTTCCCTTAAGGCATCCTCCTAGCCATCCCTTCATGGCCCATCCCCCAGGCAGTCTTCCTCCTGGGACCTTCCTCCCTCTCCCAAACCTCTGCCCTCACTTTGACTTTCAAGCTCTTCCTTAAACACTTCTGGGAAACAAGAAGTGCTGTCAGGGCTTTGTCTCCTTCTCTCCATTCTGTTGGGTGTAATATGTATTTACTGGCCACTGGGAAGGTCTAGCTGGTGCAGGAAGGTCCACAAAGATGGTAGCCTGGTGCTGTGGAAACTGAGGTTCTTGCTTTTAGGTGGACGGCTTGCATCTGAGTTATCCTTCTGTTGCTGAACAGAAGGGTGCCTAGAACTATAACTCCTTTTCTTTCAGTTTTTTTCTAGTATGTTCAGTGGCAAAGTTCAACATAGTAGGTAATTCAAAATACTCGGATTATGTATTTATATAGATGGGCATTCCTTATCACTGCCTTCGTTTAATGAAGAATTTAACAAAAACTATTATTTCCTGTTTCCTTCCATCCTGCTGAGTCAAGATTCTCTGAGAAAAGGCCAAAGCAGATCTGTTAGGTGGATGCTTTATTAGAGAAAGTGGGATGTGATGGAATTATGTAAAAACACAATTTATTCAGCTTTGAATGAAAGACTTGTTGTGTTGTCCATACCCTTCCTCACTTTAGAGCAATAATCTAAGCCATTGTCTTTCCTATAAGGCCCTGAAATACAGTTGCACAAAATAATTCAACTGAAGTAAAACTAAAAACCTAGAAGATGCAAAATTATGCTGGGAAACTACCAAAATGTTCTTTCTAATATATTTACTGATGACAAAGTCTGAGTGGTTATTCAATACAATCTGTCCCTAAAAAGAATTAACTCAACGTCTATCAACTTTTCTGCGGTGTGCATTGAATTTGATTTCCTCCATTTTTATTTCATCTAGGGCTGTCAGGAGGAGTGCACAGCTGGAGGATGTTTGGGAGAAACAGCAAAGCATGTGACCGAATCTTTCAAGGTATGTTTGTTAGAAGATGAGTGTCTGAAGCATTTCAGTAGATAGTGCCAGACAGCATCTGTAGCATGGCAGTGATTGTTGTGCAGGCATTCATAGCTACTGACATGCTTGAACATCATAATTATGTAAATAATTATGTAAGTTGCATTTGCTGAAAATATTTTCAATATAGAAATTAACAATGTTACAAGAAAAACTTCAATAGAATTTCAGGTACTAGCTAAAAGGCTAGTAGTCATTAAGCAAAAATTAAAATGGTATAGGTGATTTTATTTTTAACTCTTACCAACTTCAAAAGCAATAGAAGTAAAGATTGATTCCCCCCATTAAGGTTTTTTTCCCAAACAAAGTCTGTGTAATGCTCTATTTTTTTGTTAAACTTCGGCATTATGAATGGTGTTCAAAAGTAGGTTTTTCCATCTGGTCTCAAAGTTGCAGAGCTAAGGATCTCAGAAGGACTCCAAAGCACACCACAGCTCTGGCACATTATCAGCACTCAACAAGCAAACAGGGCTATGATAATAAGCAATGCTGAGCAGCTGCCAGGAACTGACATGAATTTGAATCTCTGATTTTTTGTTTTGGTTTCTTTTTTTTCTTCTTTTTCTTTAATCTTATGCTTAGAACTGAGCTCAGTGAAGATATCACTCTTTGCCTCCTTCCTGAAAGCAGTGCTAGTAACTCAGAGCTCATTTTAAACACTGTATGGGCACAGATGTCAACTTTTAATTTTTTGTTGGAAATGTAAAGCCCATCACCATGTGTTTCTTTCAATTCCTTTTTTTCTGCCTCCTTTAGACTTCTTTTGCCTTTATTCCTAATGTCACACGTCTATAATTCTTTCTCCCTCTCTCTTTCCCTGCTTTATAATCTTTACAAAGTCTCATCTATATTTTGCAGGTGTTTAAAAATAGTACCCAGAGAAAAAGTGACCTTACTTAGTGCTTTTTCAGCAGTTCCCTTCCTGTTATTGCTGACTATTGTCAGCAGTACATGAGATGAAATTATAATGGTACACTTTGTAACTGTCATGTTCTTCCTGATTTTTTTGGGCAGTGTCCCTGCTGGGCAGTCTTCTGAATCATGCCTAAGTAGTTATTTCACTTTTAGTTGCCAGGCTGTATCCAGATATGGAAAATAAATGCTGCAGAAAATGTGTTAAGTGTTATTCTGATGCTGTTCTTGTTGCAAACAGCAAAGAATTTTTGAGACTCCATGACTACATGTAGCAACATGCCATTTAATTTCTTCTTCCTCATTCTCGGCCCTTCCCAGTTCTTCTCTTCCTCTTTTTTTGCATTGTGTCTCTCTGGCAGTTCTGCCCAAGAAAGAAGATTTAGGATGACTTTTCAGCCAGAAGGTCTGATTTGGAAAACGTTGGCAAAACTAGGCCAACCAGTTTTGAAACCCCAAGAACTCACAATTATCCAATACAGAGTTGTTTCGTGATTTCACCTTTAATAAATAGGCAGGATAGATCCGAGTAGATTAATTCAGTAGAGTGTGCTAGTGTATTTAAAAATAAAAATTGCTTTACAGAGAGGAGACTCTTGTGTAACCACACTGTGCTATTTCTTTCCACTCATTGACATAGCCCAGAAGAAAGATAGAGTGGCAACAAATTCTGATAGTGTTTGGGTCGTAGGTGAACTGGGCATAAACTAAAGCAGATTTAAGCCATATTTAATTATACCAGCAGTCAAGCAGGTGCTTTACCAAAGCTCCAACGTGGAGCAGCACAAAGTTGGATTCAATCCAGTTTCCTTTCCATCAATACTTTTGTCAGCCAGAATGGCAAACCATTGTAGTGGAGAGTCTGTGTGAGGGGAAAAATATATTAGCAGGTGGGACAGATGGTCATAAAGGGAATAATACTAGAAAAAACAGCTGGCTCAGACTGAAGCCTAATTTGTAATTCTGTTCCTGCCTTATGGCTCTGTTTCTGAAGATTAGCTGCAGTCACCAGAAAGGGGTACAGTTTTTTAGAAAATATTGTACTCTGCTAGGCGTGTGTATGAAAGTTATGATGGGAGCACAGGTACTGACTGCAGTGTCATGTATTATAATAATTATTTGCAGTCTCTTTAACTTCATTGCTGAATTAAAAAGAGAAACTTTATAAATGAAGGAAAACACAACACAAGACAATGACAAATAAAAGAACCTGGATTCATTCTAGGGAAGTTCACAAACACTTCTGTGGAAGACAGTTACAGTTACAATTTCAGAAACTATAGCTAATAATATTTCAAAGGAATCAAGCTGACCCATGAGGCTGACTGAGCTGAAGAAAACTGCAATTTTGTGCCAGTAGCCTAAGTAATCCAAGATTGTGGGAATGTAGAAAACAGGGTATGGTTTTGTTTTATGCTTACACAAAACATATTGTTAAAGTGGATGCTGCCCAACATTTGAACGCCAGATTAGCCCTCTGAAGACATTTCTTTTTAGAACGCAGTGCTGTGCTTTTTAGGTGCGGTGAGCTCCTGCAAATTTTACTGCAATTTCTACCTGACTTGGAAAGGTGGAGACTTGGAGACTCCTTATTCACACTGGGAGGGAAGGAATGAAGGCTACCTACAGTGAGCACCTCTGCTATCTGCTCACTGTTTTCATTCTCATAGGCTTCTCTGAAGTCAATAGATCAGAATTGGCACTTTGTTAGTTTTAACTGCTACTGAATTACCTTAATTTGACTCACTTCTGCAGTTAAAAATCTCCTCCTGACAGGCCTATGATTTGCAAGATACTTAATGTATGGCATTTAGAGTTGACACAGGACCAGTGATCTTGGAACTGATAAAAAACGTCGAAGGAAACAGTGATTATGCTAGAATTTCCTGTATTGCAGAAACTGTCAAATCTCTAGGATTTATCTCCTCAGCTCCTTCCACTAGAGTGAAATCTTCCTCCCTCCCCAGGTTGTATGCACATACTTATTTAAATAATTGGCTGTGGTTTGTGACCATAACTTAAGAAGTTATACTTACAGTTTTTTGCCTATTGTCAGCATTGGACCTCTAGGAGGGGAGTATGAAACCAGTAATGGAAAGTGCAGTCATCCTCTGTACCACTGAATGCATTTTGGGATGTTGAATCAAGGAATGCGCATTTCTGGTTTTGCTCTTACACTTTTTTTTTTTTTTTTTTGCATTCTGTAAACCAGCAAATAGCACACTTATGTCTAAGGGACTTACTGTTTATGATTAAAAATCTGGTAATTTCTTTAATGCATTCATGTTGCTTATTGTACTGTCACAAGACAGAACAAATGTTGTTTGGATAATGTAGTGGTCTATTTCCATACGTATCTAATTTAGCTTCTTTTAATGTATGTATTAGCTCTGACTTTGAATTTATAATACTTGGTCTCAGGAAACTAAAGGCACCTGTAATTGCCTTTACTTTTCCTCATGTTATCAATCCATATCAAGAAAGATGATTTTAGTTTTTAGGTAATCTTTTGTCATGCTATATGTTTTCTCTTTGAGAGACTGATACATGGAACACTTTAAGAAGGTATTACCTACTCCTATTATGTTTCTCTGTGTTTTAATGATCTGAAGCAGTGTAGAATTAGTCGAGCATCTTCATGGCGCAAAGTTCACTTCTTTTGTTTCAATTTTTAAGGGCCTATTTAGTGTACCAAAATGATGCAGGCCTTCTAGGGCATACTGGCTAGTCTGCTACGCCAAAGCAGAATAAAGTAACTGGAGTTTACAAGTGGGTTGGATCTGGATTGACTTGCTAATATGAAGACTTGTGGTAGTGGAATGAAAAATGCTTAAGTGGAGCTTCTGTATCTGAGTGGCTCCTTGTGTCACTCTAAATAACTGAGTGTTCCCTCGCAGTCTTCTGCAGACAGACCCACTCTTCCCAGGCTCTGAGCCAGTGGGATGTGAGCCCATGGCAGGCTGGACGGGATAGAGGCAGGTTAGTGCAGTGCGGTGTTCAAACTAATAATCCCCAGCGAGACCTTGGACTCATTAGACTGAATGCAGTGCTATGCTAATATGCTTGCATGGCTTCCAGTTTGAAGCTAGCTCACGTCTAGCTTTGTGAGATGCTGAATATAGTGAATTTTCAGTAATGGTGTATGTTTTAGTATTTTCTTTTTTGCATTGCTATAACATTTTAGAGCCCAAGCTGTGACCTAGCTGACATTGTGCTAGGTATTGTACAAATTAGAACATAATTTCCATGCTATAGGTAGAACCTACAAATAAACAACCAAAATCTCCGACAGTTTTTCCACATAATCTAAAGCTGTAGTGTATCTTCCCTCTAGACGAAGTATGAAGAAATTTAATATTTATTTCCAGTGCAGGCATTTGTGGTTCAAATCGAGAGATTGCCAGTGAAAGTTTTAGAGACGTTGATCTTGTTCTTGGAGGTCTCTTCACAGAAATACAGTTGTTCCTTACAATAGGACCTTTAGTTGCATGTTTTAAAACATGTAGTCTTTGCATGAAATGACTGTGAACTTGGTTGGCTCTATGCAAGACATACTCTGCTGATTCTGATTCTCTGCCTTGTTTTCACATTCTTGACAAATGATGCAATAACATTAAAAATAAAGAACAGGTCTTACCCTGGAAACATTAAAATTATAAATAAGTTAGTATTACAGGAGCAATCTATGCGGTTAAGATGCAGGTTAAATGTTATTGCAGTATGCAACGTTTCTTGTTTTATAGTGTACACTAGAGTTGGAAAAATTCCTTTTTTCTGTGGAGAAAGATATGCCTGTTTTCAAAACAGCCTGTCAAAGGAAAACCTGATAAATTATTGCATTTTTGTGTTTACATTAATGAAGAAACCACATTACTGTGATTCATTATCATGTTTATACTAATGAAACTCAAGTGCATCTATAATTTGTGCCAGATATAGTGGGATATTGGATTCTTTGCTCTGGGAACTGGGAGAGGGACTAATTCATTTTGAGATATTAGACAGTTTTAAGGTTTATTTTAGAAAAACATTATATATGTGGAAAA